GAGTCTTTAGGACCTGAATTATGTATGTTTTGTTCATTTGTCCAGATTCTCTAAGTAATTATTCATTTCTTTAAATTCAACTTTACAGACAGCCTGAAGGTGCATGGCCATAATTCCAGTACTCTGGGAGGCTGAGGCAGGAAGATTTGAAGTTCAAATATAGCCCAAGCAACACAATGACTTAACAAGACCCTGTCTCAACATAAAAAATGAAAAAAGAGATGGAGATATAGCTCAGTGTAAAGGTCCTGGTTTCAGTCCCCAGCACCAGAAACAAAAAAAAAATTTTCAACTTTACAGATAGTAGGCTACTTGCCCAAGTAGCACAGGGCTAACTAGCAGATGTTCGATAAGCCAAATATGGACATCTCTGTGAAGCAGCTTTATCTGCTGGGAGAATAAGTCACCGGCTCTCCGGGAGGCTGAGGAAAGAGGATCAAAAGCTTGAGCCCAGCATGGGCAATTTAGCGATTTAGCAAAGCTCCTGCCTCAAAATAAAGAATACAAAAAGGGCTGGAGTCACAGCTCCATGTGAAGGGTCCTGTCCCCAGTACCAAGGGGAGGAAAAAACCCTCAAAGTCAGACAAAGTTTTATCAGAAAGAAACCATCAATTTGCCCACCTCACTTTTCTCTGGACCTTGGGTCCTCAACAGGAAAAGACTCTCTAAATGATCTTTTGACATTCTTTTGTTTTTTGGTTTGGGTCTTTCTTTCTTTCTTTTTTTTTTTTTTTAAAAAAAACAAGGCCTTGCTATGTTGTTCAAACTGGCCTTGAACACGTGATTATCTAGGATGACCTTGAGCCTAAGGCAATCCTCCTGTCTCAGCCCCTAGCACTGAGATTACATGCCTGCGCACCACACTCACCTTAAAATGCTTTGAAACACATATAATACACCTGTCCTACCAAGGCAGATTCCCAAAGACAATCAGAATTTTTCAAGAAATGTTATCTTGCCTGGGATTTAGCTAAGTGGTTCCAGCGCCTGCTTCGCAAGCACAAGGACCAGAGTTCGATTCCCGGTACCAAAAAAAAAAAAGAAATGTCATCTGGGGGCTGGGGATATAGTTCAGTGGCACTGTGCCTGCCTTGCAAGCGCAAGGTTCTGAGTTCGATGCCTGGTACCCCCCCCCAAATGTCATTTGTATGCATTCATACTAAATCCTAGGATGCCTTCTTTCCATCTTAAAAATCCACAACTCAATTTCAGTCCAGCTCTCCTTGAACTGACAGGAAGTCAATGTTAGTTGAGGAAATGTGCGTCCCTCTTAAGAGGGCAGAGCAACTAATCACAATCTGCACTGACTGGCAACTCCCTGGCATTAGTACCATTTCTGCAACACAATTATTCCACTTCCCTCTATCTCCCTGGAATGTCCAAGGAATAAGATTTAAAGCAGATAACTAACATGAAGCCACAGAAGTGATTTAACCAAGCGCTTAAATCAAAACCACAAATTCACATTATGCACTAATTTAAACATACAGAGATAAATTGGACACTGCATACTTTGAGGAGCTTCAATTCCTACAACTCTAATGAGTACAACATGAAACTTGACAAAGAATAACTTTATTTTTCTCCTTAACTCAGTAGCTCTATGCAACAGCATTCCCTTTCTATCCAGAAAACTATACTTCCATCACTGCAAACAATGAATATGGATGATTACTTTACATAGTAAGCATCCAATAAGTAGTTCTTAAATTAATGAATAAATTTTCCCTGTTTAATGATGTCTGCTGTAAATTTTAAGGGTCCTAAAAAGAAAGAGGAAGGAGAGGGGAGTGATATATCTGTTTGATTTCACTGGATAAGTATCCAGTACACTATCTTGACCTTCACTAAAGTTTCTCCCATAAAATTATGTTAGTTGGGCGTGGTGGCACACACCTGTAATCCCAGCACTCAGGAGGCTGAGGCAGGATTGTCAAAAGTTCAAGGGCAGCCTGAACTACATTGTGAGATCCAGTCTCAAACCAACCCCCTTAAAATTATTTATTGTTATAAACACTCCTTAAAGGTTGACTCATGGCAGACACTGTAAAACTCTTTTTAAAAAAGTACAGCAAACTAACACGAATCTTTTAGTCAAATTTTTTAGTATTAATCTTTTAGTTAATACCAATTTTCTTTACTAATCAGAATTTTTTTTAAATTGTGAAATAGGGCCGGGGATTTAGCTCAATGGTGCTGCACCTGCCCCACAAGCACAAGGTCCTGAGTTTGATCCCCAGTACAAAAAAAAAGTGAAATAAATCAAAGGTCCGCCCTATTGAATCCTATAAATGACCAAACACAGATATTATGCAGTAATGTTTGAGTTTTTTAAAATGTGTTTCCTCTTATTAATAAAGAGGAAAGGAGAATGCACACTGTCACTTAAGGAAGGGCCCCAGAAGATGAGAAAATTGAAAAAAAGATTCCAATCTTTGACTTTACAAAGGTTCATGGAGAAATCAAATACGTGCCTGCATCCAGCCAATTTTTCTTTGATATTTCTTCTATCCTTAGTTACCTAGTTCCAAATCCAACGGAAAACCCTCCCTCACTTTCCCTTTTCTTCCCGTTTCCTTGACTAGTAACAGCTCATTCAAATCTTTATTCAGTATTTCTGTAACATTTACAGATGTAGTTTGCATTTGTCTTTATGCTCTGTTCTCATACAGCACCAAAACTGAACCAGGGGTAAATCTCAAGTAAACAACAACAACAACAAAAAAAAACATATTGGGCACTTGGGAAGAACTATGAATGGCCAGGTTATCAGGTTGGGATGGGAATTAAGTCAGTAGGCTCCTCCTAGTCAGAGTGAAGGCCCAGTGTAGTCTTATAGCCAGCTAAGCATTAAGCAATACTGAACATATACTGAAGGATCACAAAAGAGAAACAGACATAAACAACCCTATTTTAAATGCTCATACACAAAATAGCCTGGAATCTATAGGAATTCAATTCACAGATTAAACAGGTTGCCACAAAACCGTCAAGGGCCGAACCAGGCATGGTGCCTCACATCTATAATCTGAGCAGCCCAAGGCAGAGGTGGGAGGATGTCAAGTTTCATCCCAGCCTGGGATACACAGAGAATCAGTGAGACTCTGTCTCAAAATCAAAAATCAAAAAGGGCTGAGCATATAGCTCAGGGTGAAGGTCCTGGGTTCACTCTCTAGAATCACCAAAAAATAAATAAAATAAAACATGGAGTTGTCATGTAACACAAAAATTCTACTTCTAGGTATGTACCCAACTAAAAACACATATATATGCAAAAACTTGCAGCAGCATTATTCAGAACAGCACAAAGTCCACTAGTAAATGGATAAATCCATATATACTCTGGACTGGCATTTTCACTCCTACAAAATTACATATCCAGTGCAGACAGTCGCATAACAATGAGGCTTCTTCTGCAGCCATTTGCAATAAGGACTAGCAAACCCTTAGAACCATACTTATTTATTACCACTAAATAAATCATGATTCCACAGGGAACTATATCCATTGAAAAATTAGCTGTTTTTGCAGGGATGGCACAATTTTCAGAAACTTGGAATATGCATAGAAAACTGAAGGAGTAAAAATGACCACAGAAGGAACACAGTATTTATACAACGGCTGATCACAAAAGTGTTACAGTAAACAGCACATTGCCATCAATCCCCCTCTGAATACTCTCTCTTTGAACACTTATCCCATCGTTCTTGTCACTTTCTGAAGCAGTTCTAGAAATCTTTTCATGCCTTTACAAGCTTATAATGAAAAAATAAGGAATCAATGATTGAGAGAGAAACAAGTTGGGAAGGCAGGGGCCAGTTGCCTTTTGCTAAGCACAAAGCCTCAAAGCCTTCTCCACAAAAAAAAGTAATGAGGGTGCTGGGTTAACTCGGTGGTTTCACCACCTGCTGTGCAAGCGCAAGGACCCGAGTTCAATCCCCGGTACCGAAAAAAAAAAAAAGTAATGAAAATAAAGAGTAATCTGAATTCTGCAGTTATTTTGTCTTGTATATCACCCCCAAACGGACTGTATTAGAGTATCATTTTTTCCAAAAAACCAAGACTATCACTGAGGGGTAGGCAGAGAAATCCCAGGGGAAACTAACCACAACCCTTGGTCTCTCAAAGCTACCTTACCTTGGCAATGGTGCCTTCCACTATCTGGGCTTGTAACCCAACAGTATTTTGATTTTATATAATCTAAAATAAACCTCAGTTTCCAGAATGTCCATTAACCTAAAATATACTTCGTACTGCACTTGTGTTTGTCTAAAAACTCGCTTAATTAATGTTCTCACCTTCAGCCTACCTGGCTTATCAATGGGTAAGAGCGGCGGGAAACAGTTTATTAAAACCTCCCAAGTAGCCATACACGCTGGTGCACGCCTGTAATCCCAGCATTCTGGGAGATTAAGGCAGAAGGATCCCACATTTAAGCCCAGTCTGGGCCACTTAATGAGACCCTGTATAAAAAAAAAAAAGAAAAAGAAATCAAGCCGAGGCTGACAGGATCCCGGCACCCTGCAAATCCCTTCAATACGGTAGCAGGTCGAGCAGTTCACACCGCGTATCCACGCACCTCGATTGCTCCACCGAATGCCTTCGCACAGCTCAGCTTCCCTCCTGGCAAATCCACAGCTGCAAAGCTGGGCTGATTTAGTCTCCCCTAACTGCAGGACCAGCGCTCCCGAGCACTAACACCGCAGACTGCCGTCCGGCTAGCTCGGCCAGCTCCGGTTTCTCCAAAATGACAACTTTGGGCAGACAGCACGCGGACGGACTGGCCCGGACGGCCCTGACGCGACACCCGCGTCCCTTCAAGGAGCACCAAGAAGGAGGAAGGGTCCCAGGGGCCCCCGGGGGGGGGGCGCGGCGGCTGGGGGTCAGAACAGGTGGGAGATCGGTCCGAGGCGACCCCGTGCCGCACGCACTCGCCGCAGGAGCCGGCCCGGGCCAGCGCCTGGGAAGGTGGCCCCGGCCGCCGGGGGGAGGGGGCTCACCGGTGACGTCCAGGTACAGGTCCTCATGCGACTCCGCGCGGCGGCTCCTCTTCCGTGAGCGCGGGGCCGCAGAACAGCGGAGAGAGCAGGGGGGCGCGGCCCATCCCGGCCGCCGCTCGCCCTTCCGCTTCATGGAGGCGGCCGCGAGTCAGGGTGCCGCCACCATGGCCCGGGCCGGCCCCGCCACACGCACGACGCCACCACCACCCCCGGCCGCAGACGCTGCTGCTGCTGCGGCGGCTGATGGAGCCGCGCGGACGAGCTACACGCGTCGCGGCGCTCGGGACCCCTGGACGACGATCCCCTGCGCTTCATTCACAAAAAAGGCCCGCGGCCCTCGCTGGGGCCCGCCGCCTGCCACCGCTGATTGGCTGGCGAGGTGTGACGTCATAGGCACGGGGCCTCACCACAGGCAGGTACGAGGTGATGCCATAAAGAAGTCGGAGCGGCTCGGCCAATCTGCGTCGAGGTGTGCGTGCGAGGCCCTCGGCCGACCCCGCCCCCGTCTCCCGGGCGACCACCTAGCGCCTAGGTTCCCAACTTCCTTCCCAGGTCTGTGTGCTCTGCCCCTTGTGTAAGGCGTTGGCCCTGCAAAGTGTGAATGGGTTCTCCGTGGTACTGGCGCCAAGCGAGAGACTCGCCAGGGCTGCCGGCATGTAAAGAAGCACAGGCTGATGGGACCATGCAGTCGTACAGACTGAGGTAGAGCTGGTCTCAGGTTTAAAGCCCGTGCAAACCTGCTGCGCCCGGTTCCCCAAGGCGTACCCAGCCTGCAGACAGACGCGCAGGGCTCGTGAAGGTGCTGTCACAGCCTCAAGACCCAGCGCCCCATAAACTCTGCAATCTCGCGCACCGGTACTGTATGCAGCTAGGATGTTCGAGGGTGCGCTTGAGCCTAGGGACGTGTCTAGTCCTGGAACTTCTGTTTTGCAGATTGTAGAATCATACCCCTTTTTGTACTGAGTTAAAATAACGTCTAATCTCTCTGGAATTTAACCACAACTGTCATTCTGGAGAGGCTTTAAACAGATGCCCATGGTAGCGTCGAAAAAAGTTAAGTCAGTCTTTAGGTTCCGTGTTCCCAAATCTGCAATATACTCATGTTTCACCAGCAATTTGATGCCTTATGCTGCGATTCCCACCAGCCTTTGAGAGAAGAGGAATTTTGAGTCTGTCCCCTTGGAAGCTGCTCAGAAATGCAAATTTTCCTGGACTTCCTTGGGTAAGGACTGTTTGACTTCTATTGTTGTGGACTTTTCCCCTTAAATACTGCTGAATGAGGAAGAAGGAGGCTGTGGGACCGGCTTCCTCAGCCCGGAACTACAAACCTCAATTCCCTGAGAGCTTTGTCATAAGCTTAGTACAGCACTGTGTTCGTGTTCAGTCTTCCCTTGTTTCTCAGGAGATCCGTGAAGGCCTTAAATTTAAAATTGTTTATGTGTCTGTATGAGTAGGAAAAAAAAGAGGCAGACAGGAGTGTGTGGACTGCCTTGTAGATGAGTTTTGGTGAGCAGAAACTTTGGGTCACAGCTACTCTGATTGGAAGGAGCCCTTTCATACTGTTTAGAGAGGCCACCCGGTACACCAGACTATCAGAAAATTTAAAACGCTGTCTTGTTTTGAATAGATATTACATGGGCACTGTCCCAGTGGTTCCCTAGAATAACAAAAATACAAGTATCTGTGACGTTCTTGTCAGTAAAAGGCCGAAGACCAAGACCAGACCAGGTCACTCAACGAGCCTTTATTAGGGGAATTGATCTGCCAGGTTGTCTCTAAACAAAGGAGAGACAAAAACAATATGGCCGGGGCAGGGAGAATCTTTTATAGAGACTGGGGTGGGGTTTGTAGGGGCTGAGGTGGGGTTGAGTGAGGTAGTGACTAGGGAATAGAGGAGCCGGTGATGTCACTAGGTGGTAGGAGGTGAGCGAGTATTAGGTTACTTTCTAGGCGGGAACAGGCGCATGCTGGGAAGAAGGGTTTGTTCTTTGGTGGGAGCAACCATCTTGGGATGACGTCACACGGGAGGGGCAAGGCACGATAGGAAGAGGGCAGCTACTATACATAATAGCTGCTGAGGTAGTGGGAGACCTACCAATTCTGTTGTTTTGTTTTGGGGGGGTTTTTTGGTACCAGGGATTGAATTCGACCTTGCGATTTTTGAGAATGACTTACTTAAATGTCACTCTTAAATGCCAGGTTCATTTACATCAGTTCATTTTCTCTCACCTTCAAATAGTGTTTGGGCTGGAAATTCTAACAATAAATTAAAGAAAAAAGTCATAAATAATATCATTAAACATTTTTATATTGCTGGGCATGGTGGCACATGCCTACCAGCACTCCAGGCTGAGGCAGGAGTATCACTGCAAGTTTGAAGCCTGCCTGAATTACAAAGCAGGACTGTCTCAAAAAATAAAAAAAGTATTTTCATATTTTGCAAATACATAATTTTACAGTTTTGTTCATATAACCTCATTAAGAAATAAGATAAATGACTATACTGTGTAATTATGCAGAATATCTGTGGTCGCTTTGGCAGCACATATACTAAAATTATGCAGAATATCTTCCATTTTTTTAAACAAAGTCAACATGCTAAATATACATATTAAAGGGGTTTGGGGGGGGTTATTTGTTTGTTTTGGTCTGTGCAGGTCTAGCTGCATAGTTCGGGCTGACCTTGAACTCACTATGTAGCCCAGATTGGCTTCGAATTTGCAGCAATCCCCATGCCTCAGCCTGAGTGCTGGGATTACAGGTGTGCATCACCACATCCAGCCCATATTAAAGTTTTAAATCCTCTTTATATTTTGTTTTTAGGTCATTTTTCAATAGTGCCAGGAGAGTGCTACATATTTTTTAGCTGATAGGTTTTTGTGGGTAACATTTTTTTGAGACAGAGTCTATGTAGTTCAAACTGACCTTGACCTCCAAGTGACCCTCCTGCCTCAGCCTTGCAGCCATGCATCACCGTGCCCTACCCTGTTGGGACACTTCTTTTGAACAATTTGACTCCCCTCGTCAATAGGTTGACATCTAGGCTCTGAGAGTTTGACCACAGGAAAGGTACTGGAGTTTGCTTGCTGGGATGGTTTGTGATTCATTATTTGACTATTGATAATAAAAGTCAGAGCTTGAAAACACCCTAGACATTAATTGGTCCAGGGCTGTCATTTTCAGTGAGGACAAGGGACACCACTAATAGAAGGTGCCAAGCTGGAATGAGAACCAATACACTCTCCAAGGCTCTACGTTGTCCTTCCCTGAGCCTCCTGGGCTTAGAGAACACTGTGCCTGCTTGTGATTCTCAACATTTTAGGTAGCACCCTGAAAAGCCGAAGAAAAACAAAAAGAAAAAGAGAGGGTCTTTAGAATATTCCTATTCTGGCACTACCAAAGCAAAACCTGTCTTTCCTAGGTAAATTCACCCTCAAAGGAAAACAGTTATAGGACATTTTCTTGTATGTATATTTCTGTTAAAATCATATGATGAAATCCTGAAATGATACATTAAAATTAGTAGAAACTGGTTGATATGATAGTAACTTCAGTAATATAAATTTCAAAATCAGTTCATTACAGTGTTTATTAATGTGACAATAAGTAATCTAATAAGTAAATAAGTTAAATTTTCATAAAAATTAGGTGGTTCAGGTGGCAGTCATATTGGAATAAGAACGCACAATAAAATCTTCACTATTACATTTAAGAGTTGGAGCCAGACACAATAGTGTGCGCCTATAATCTCAGCTACTCCAGGGGCTAAGGCAGGAGGATCACAGACCAACTTGGGCAATTTAGCCAAACCCTGTGTCAAAATAAAATGTTAAGAGGTTGAGGATGTGGCTCTGTGGTGGAGCACCTGGGTTAGCATTCACAAGGCCCTGGGTTCCACCCTTAGCACTTCTGTTTGCTTAGATATTGTGATAACTCCAGCATGAATCTGAAGTCCCCAGAGTCTGTTCAGAGACAGTCTTCTAGAAGAAAAACAAAGGAATGACTGTTGAGCTACCACATGTGCTGGATACCCTGGGGAGGGAGCCCTCAGGCAAATGCCAGAAGGTGACACATTTTATAGGTGAGGGGTCTCACTGGAGAGGACAGGCAGCCATCCTAGGTCACTCAGCGAGAGTTTGGGGACACCTGGGGCATAGGAATACACTTGGCTCCAGGGCCAGAGGGGCCAGAGCACAATGATGGGCTCCTGACATCCAATAACCTCTAGAGTTGAATAAAGGTCAGGATTTTAGATTAACACTTTTCAACCTCAGACCAGATCCCAATGTAGATGGAGTTTTGTTTTGTTTTGTTTTGTTTGTGGTACCAGGGCTTAAACCCAGGTTGTTGAGCTACATCCCCAGCCCTCCCCCCTTTTTAAAGATTATTTCACTAAATTGCTAAATTGCCCAAGCTGGGCTTGAACTTGGGACCCACTTTCCTCACTTTTTCAGAGTGCTGGGATTATAGGTATGGAACATCATACCAGGCTTGGAGACCAAATTTTTAACACATGGGTCTTTTCAGATACTAATACCGTATTAAGTGAAAAAAGCAGTTTACAGAATAATATGCACACTTTAAACCAATTATTTTTAATCTGAGTTTTTTGTTTTGTTTTTTGAAACAGTCTCACTTTGTAGTTTAGGCTACCCTTGAACTATGTAGCCAAGGCTGGCCTTGAACTTGCAGCAGTCAACCTGTCTCAAGCCTCCCAAGTTCTGAGACTACAGGTGTGCGCCACCAAGCCTAGATTAAATCTATGATTTTATCTTAAGACAGACTATTAACAGTGGTTACCTAGATTTCCAAAGTTCGTAATGTGAGGAGCCTACTCGCCTTGTGTTGATAGCAGTGTTTAGCCAAGAGGGGGAACAAAAGTGTGAGCCTTCATGTAGTACTTTTCATTTCTCCCATGTTCTGTTCTTTTCTATGAACATGTGATCTAACTATATCTAATGCACGCCAGCATTTTTCAAATGGTAATGTGAGAGAAAGATTTAGCAATTACTGAGTCCTTTGAAGTATCAGGTCTATTTAGGTGATGGTATCTTTAGTTATACTCTGATCACAAGACTTAAAATAACCAGAATTCTCTTTGCCTATGCTGACCTCCCTGGCATTCTGCTGTTTTATTTAATATTTTTAACAGGAAGAGCATCCATAGCCAGAAAAATAAATTAACAACAGGAATACTATTTCAAAAGTCTACAACATTAAGGGCTGGGGATATAACTCAGTGGCACTATGAGGTGTAGCAGATGAAAGGCCCACAATCTTCATGAGGTGGGCCATTCCAGGAGGCTGCAGCGGGAAGCCAAGGCAGGAGGATCACAAGTTTAAGCCCAGCCTGGGCTCAAGTGGCTTAATGTCTTAAAAAGACTTTGTCTCAAATTTAAGAAATAAAAAAAAATTAAAAATTTTTAAAAAGGGCTAGGGATGTAGCTCAGTATAAAATCCCTGGGTTCAACCCATGCTAGAGAGAGAGAGAGGTTAACAGTTTGAGCTCAAAGCAGATTTTAGAGTATTTTTATTTAGACAGTCCCTCAGAACTCTGAAATTAAAATCTCCTTTATCTGTGTCCCAGTTCTTGGGCAGTGCATTCTCTCATTACTTCATTCTTGTAAGTGAAAAGGAGGCACTTGTGAAGATTTAGTAACCTCCTATTGAAATTCTACTCTGAGGGTACAGTTAAGATCATGATTTGGAGACAGAGAAGTGAAGCGCCTGCCTCATTTTTACTCTGCAGGCTGCAAAGGGTGTTGCTTAGCCAGCCAGTGGCTGTCTGCCCCTCCGCCTTGCACCCCAATGGACTGGGCCAGGTGCTCACATGTCCAGCCTGGCTGTCAAACCAGCGGTCTCCACTCCAACATGAGTGCAGCAGGGCAGGCAGTGCATGTCCGGCCCCCTACAGCCACTTCAGGGCGAACAGAGAGGACACGCCAGGGTGGCTAAGCTCAGGAAGGGAGAGATCTGGGCCCCTCATTTACATAGCAAACTTTCACAGCAAGCCTTCCAGAAGATTCCCTGGGTTCAGCCCTCACCGACTGTAACAGAACTGCAAGCTGCTACATAAGTACCACTTCCCAGCACTGCTTGGGTTGTAGTCCAGGGGGGCCTCCTTCCTCCTTCCTCCTTCCTCCTTCCTCCTTCCTCCTTCCAGGCCACAGCACTGGCCTCCTGTGCTGCAGCAGGAGCTACTCTGGTGGACATTTAACCCTG